CATGGTTGTGAGCTATAACAAAACAATGGACATAAAGACTGTTTTGAAAGTTACAAAGCTTTATACATATATATCTCATTACAAATCACTTTTCATTTGAGTTTTATTCATATGCATTAAATACTTCTCCTTGAACTTGAAAGCTTTCTTATCTAGTCTCTCTTCCTCAGTTTTCTATAGAGCAGAAAGCACCCCAGTCCAGACCTTGTACATAGAAGGATGGAAAATGTAAACACAAGTTTGGAGATCACCTCAACAAACACACATAGTGACATAGTGACACAACTTAGTCTATTTATAGCCTCAAAGAATCACTATTGATTACAAGAAAGCAATTTTCTCTGGAGTTGTTGCTGACTACTTAAAATGACATTTTTTTGATCTCCCTATTTTGATTCCATAGATTTTTTTTAAACTCTATTCCTCAGAAAATCTTTCACCTTCTAATTTCTGATTCTTATGATCGCCTTTGCTCTCATTTTAAGTTTAATATTGAAACTCTGATTTAATTTAGGAAATTGCTTAAGGATATAGCGGTATAAGGTGATTTGTTTTGGTTTTTAACATGTAAACTTGTGTTACAATGAATTTAAAAGAGATGTTTTTTTCTTTGCTTGTCATCTAAGGAGCTCCCCTGCCCCTTAGGGTACAATTGTGAAGATGATTGCTTAATAAGCATGGTCTCCCAAACCCTTCAATGTTCTCATTCAATCTGAAAGATTTTCAGCTACATAAATACTTTCTGAATTTAAAAATAAGGTAGCCTGTATTACCTTATAGATTTTTTAAAAAGTAAAGTCTAAGTCTTTTTAACTAATATCAGTTATGGAGGATGCGATGGCTATATTTATGTGTCAGTCAGTGCAGAGCAGATAATAGCCTAGCAGATATACACAATCATGAGATTATAAAGAAGAAGCCCTATTTGTCTTCATGCCACACTGTAATGTATTATTATATTATTTACAATCTTCGTGTTTGGCCAAATGTATATAATTCAAATAATGACCGCTTTTCCCCTCAAACTGAGAGAGAAACAATTGCTTGGATTATCAGAATCCCAGCTTTACCAGTTATTACCTAAGTCGCTTTGGGTAGGTTTTTAAATTTCTCTATGCCTCAGTTGCCTTATCTATAAATAGGGATAGTGATCCTACCTTTCTCGTTGGATTTTTGTGAGTATTAAAAAATGAGACTATGTATAAAATGCTTAGAAAAGCTCCTTGGTATTTAATAATCAGTCACCATCCTGATCTCCTTCTCCTCTCCCGCCCCTTCCTCTGGGCTATGATCTGGAAGGAAAGCCTCAGATGCTCTGGTCGACAGGGGAGGAGTAATAATAAAAGCACGTGTATACAAAATGGAAATGCAGGAAAAATACTCTCTCAAAGAAGAAATGCATTTGTGGTAGAGGCTAGCTAAATGCTCTCAATTTCCACATTCTGGTCATATAGGAAGACTATACATCCCACCATTCCCACACATACACTGGGCTATGTCACTGGTTTCCAGTCGATGGCATGAGGGTAGAAGTGTTGCACTCACTTCCAAACCTAACCCGGTATCTCCATGATCAACCACTCACACTCTTTCCCTTATTTGATCCACTCAGAGGCCCTAAGTTCAAGATAATGGCCCCAGGGGATGGGAGAAAGAGGGATCCTTGCATTCACTACTGGAGAGTCAAATGCCCTGTACCAGACTGAGCCGTGAGCAAAAGCAAACCTTTACCATATTAAACTTTTGAAATGTCTGAGCTGATTTCTTTAAGCTCCTATTCTTAATTTTCACTCTGATTGTTAGGCTAATACCACTCAGCATTAAATCCATTCTTCTAAATTCTGTTTTAAGATGCTGGAGCTGGGACCCTTCCAACCAGATTCTCCTTTGCATTTACCTCTTGGGCAGGCTGTGCCAATACCAGTGCCAGCGGAAACTAGAACACAGGAGGAGAGAGAGGACTCGCTTCTTGCTCACTGCCTGCTTCTGTTAGTGTCATCCCAGCAAGCCTTCTTTAAGTCAGCAGTGGAAACTGGGTCCAGTTTCTAAGTTTGTTCGCTTTTTTCCACACTCCTTGAACTATCTTTATTGCATCTCCCATTTGAATATATAAGGTTTGAGATGTGCATCCCCTTCAGGCATCTGGGTCCCAGACCCTCAGAGTCCCTCTTCTGAACTACAGAGTGTCCCGCAGCAGCTGAGAAGCGTTTCTCCTTAGTCTCCAGCCTCCTCCTTGTGCTACTCCTCTCTACGGGGGGTTGTTACTTCTTGAAGTTACTAAACTTGTGTGTATACCTTCTTGACTTTTTTCAGTCTTCCAATAGCTGATTAAATAATTTTTCATATTATATTAAAATTACTGGCTTTTGTTTTCCTGATGGTACCTTAACTTTTATAACTTTTCAAATACAGAAATTGGTAGCGGAAGCCTGTGCTATCATAACAAAATCTAAATTATGTGGCATTTGCTTAGTGGTTAGGCAATGGGTGGCAAGGAAACAGATTTCAAAGGTAGAAAGCCATCTATCTGCCTGGTGTTTTGGCATAATTCTTGGTAAAACTTCCCAGGGGTGCATAACCAGAGGCTGGAGAGAACCACGGACATGGGAGATGGGCAAAGCCTATTCAGGGATCCTTCCTGAACTCTAGGTTAGGGAGACTTTATAATGTCTGTCCAGCAGGATTTCACGTCTGGTTTCCTGGTGTATCTGATTCTTTGTCTTCCCAAGCATGAGTGTTTATTGTGGTTTCCCTCTCCCTACTCCTCATCAGTGTATTGGGTACAAATGTGTGGTGGGAGCTGGTTGCAAAATACAGATAATATATTCGTAGGCAATTCACCACCATCATTATTTGATAAGGACAATGCATACGCAGAGCTCACGAACTTGAGCTGAATCGGGTGACTGAAAGAATGTTTAGTTATCTCTCTTGGAATATAATAATACTTTTTCAGGAGAGTGGAAACATGACACAAATGTCTGGCAACTAGAAAGGTAGACTGTGGCCGAAATGGGTTAGATGCTCACTAATTCCATCTGCTTTTCCTGGTAATCTACCTACCTAACATTTACCAGCCTCCCTGACAGTTCAGATGGGGCCATGAGACTAGGTTCTGTCCAACGGAAGAATGTCCACACATTCAAGGCTGCTCCATAATAGTCCATGCACGGTGGCCCATGCAGTCTCTGCCTTTTCCTCGGTGAGCTAAGAGGCCCTGTGCTTAAGAAGGCAGCATCAAAAGATGAAAGGAGTCTGAATCTTTAAATCGTTATTTAACAGTGAAACATCAAGGAGAGCTGCCTCAGACACATGGGCTATGAAATAAGAAACAAATATTTGATTTTTCTATGTTAAGAAACTGAATTTTTGAGGTTATGTTGCAGTGACTGACGTTTATCCCCCAACACATCTTTTCGATTTTAAAAAAGATTAATTACTGGATTTAATTAAATTGGTAACTTGATGTTTTTCCTTTCTAGTACAAGTGTTTGAATGGGAAGAAAATGTCATCAGGACAGTGAGATGGTGTGGTATAGTAGAAAAACCTTAGCTTGAGAAGCCTAGCCTCAAGTGATCCTTTTATCATTTACTAGCTAAGTGGCACCTGTGAAGTCAATTAATTTCTCTGGGCCACAGTTTTCACACATCTGCAAAATGAAGCTAACATTAGGTTACCCAATTATAAGAGAAAGCCAGGCTAAATGTTTGCTCAGGATTTTCTATGGTTTTGATCTATGGTTCTATGAAACAGGAATTAAGCACAAAAGCCACTCTAATGAAAGCACAGAAGTCTTTGGTGTTTTTTTTACTTTAAAATTTTTAGCTACTGCATGACACACGACAAAGTCCAGGCTCATGAATAAATATTGCGTAACACCCTTGTTTCAACTGTGTTAACTCATTCTAAGCAGTTCTATTGGAAATAATCATTTACAAAAGAGTGAGATGCAACAGTGCAGATGATAATTTTGAAGAATCTATGCCCTGGAACGTTGGCTATCCAATCGTCTGCACACATTTCTCCAGATGCTCAGCCCCTTCCCCACAATCTGAGATGATGAAGCTTAAGGGAAACTCCCACTTCTATGTTTTGTCAACTAAGAGCCTATTCTCTGAGATAGTGTCTCTTGATATGCACCCAATAATGTTTGCTCAAGATCGTTTTTTCTATGTTAAAAAATAGAAATTATCAAATGACTCAAAAGTTAAAAACAAACCCCAAATCTTAGCACATACTTAATTATATGTTCACCAGCTAATAAATTAAGCTAATGAAAACACTGGTATTTTTATAAAATGGTAAAAACAACAACTGAATTAGATCTGTCAAAATAAAACTTAGAGACTAAATGGACTTTTTCTTCTGTAAATCAAAACGAAGAATGTTGCAGCCAAAATCTAAATAAAGAGCATATAAACCTCCCTTTGCTGAGTTTTCTTTTCCTAATCACTGGCAAATAACGGCTCACTGGAGCTGAGCATTTAAACTTAATGAGGAAAACTAAACATAAAGGAGTATATTATTGAATTGTCTTCAAATCATTTTTGCAATTATTTAATTCACAATTTTATATAAAAAGTATAATTTTTGAATCACCTTTTGAGACATTTTTAATGATATATATTAAAATATATTATTCTTGCTTTTGGATAACTCTGCATGTTTTGCTCCATCGATTCCATTACACAAGTATAGAAGATACAAACACAAGTACACAAGATACGAACTTTAAATATCTCTTTAACGCCCCTGACATAAACGAAGGGCAAAGAAGTAGAAAGAAAAAGAAATTGCTGTTTAGTCTGAATCAAGCACAACTGTTATATGGCATTATGCTATTTCTATTAATATCCACTAACAAAACTGAATCTATATGAATAATATAATACAAATGCAAAGAGTGCGGTGAGCAAGAACAAGGTGTGCGTGGCATCCCCTCCCCCCTTAGCGCCCATTTCCATAAGGCTGCGTCGAGGTAAAGTAACTTTTCACTCACCAGCGTGGAGGTTTGGGAGGCATCAGCCACGTCCCCTGCGCTCTCGGGTGTCCGCGTGCTGTTGGGGGTTCTGTGCGGGTTCCGGGCTATCGCCTCGCACCAGCCCAGCATTTTCTCCTTCCTCTTAGCCCTTTTCAATGTCTGAAATTCTGAAAATAATTTACATTCCCTGAAACAGGTCACTTATTTTAGTCGGCTATTTTTTGGAAATGTACATATTGTAATTAAATAAGCGATTTAATGAAATACCAATGGAGAACATTTTATTTTAACCACAGGTTATGGGGAGGAAAAGATGAGTATGCCGATCACTAAAAATATCCCAGAGCCATAGGAGAATGAAAACCGTGCACATCTATTCAAAGGGCCTGATGTGTCCAGCCTAATGCGACCCTTCTAGACTAGGGGAATTTCAGGTTCTAAGTGTCATTTCCAGGGATCAGTTTATAACATGGGTTCTTAACTTGGGAGCTAAGAACAGACCCAGTTCCTGCTAGGTTTCCATATTTCAATGACATCTAAAATTTGGCACAGCCTTTCAGCTGAATGGCCTACAGATGCAGAAAACACTGAGTACGGGCCAGCAACAAAGATTACTCGTTCTAGCAATGGCATGGTCTCTCCCTTATAAAGTTCTCCCAACTAAAGGAGAAATTTTAGAGCAAACATGGTAAACTTAATATGTGACATCTATCACCGCTACAACCTATTCAAAAATAATGATTTTTAAAATATTCTTACTATCTCATGAGTAAAAATATTCCACAACTCTTTCTTGCTTTCCAGAACTTCCCATTTGGGGATTATTTATTTATTTATTTATTGGTCTTTGAAAAAGTTATATTAACAATGACTTTTAACATAATGGAGAAAACATTCTTTCCCTGTAAAGTTTTATAGCCTACTTTTCCACTCCACCACCCTCAGTAATTAGAAATAGTTTATTGCAGGTCTTTAGTTAAATGCATTACACTGTCAATTAAATATCAAAAATAATGTGGAGTAATTATTTTTCACAGCATCGAAAGCAATTAGCAATCTGGTGGTTTATAACATTTCAGGGATTCAAAATAGCACATTTCACAGCACTAAGAAAAGTAACACAAAGAAAGGTTGCACTAACAGACTGATGAGTTATTACTCTAAATGACAAAATACTCGAGCTAAATGGATCTGAACAATGTAAATAGGGAAATTATAAAAAAAAACTTTCATAAAAATTAAGTCTAAGATACTCAATGGAATGGATTTCTTAATAAGACTGGTAATCTGAGTCAATCATTCACTTGAGGTAAAGGGAAATGTTGAGGGAGCTTGAAAACAATTACTTGAATGAGCAACAAATTATTAATGCTTGCCCTTTCAAACACATTGCTTAATATTTTATTGAAAATTCTTATCTATGTTATACAAAATCTGCATATCCAACTAATTTGCACTCCACAGAAAGTAAATATTTCTGCATTTCCCGACACAGTATCTTGGTTACTCATCAGCTTTAAATTAAATTTCTTGAAGTGTGCTAAGAGCAAATGAAAATTAGTATCTTTATTCAAGGGCAAGGAGTGCAATGATACAGAAGGACCAAAACAATTTAATCAAGTATAAACAAATGTTCTACTTGTAAGTCATTTGCCATTTATTTTTTGAAAATTTTGACTCTATAATTAAATACCATTTTAGTACTTATAATAAATGTTGAATTCATGAATGAATAAAAAGCATAATAAAGTGACCCAAAATATGATATCATTAGTACCCATTCTGGGATATGTTTTTAAAAGCTGCCAACTTCATATTTCCCATTTGGTTTCTGAGATTAAATAAAACAGTTTAATTTCATTTGCAGCGTGCTTTTGTGGTGATGGTGGTGGCCATAGCTATGTTCCTCTTAATTTAGTGAACATTAATCTGTGAGTACTTATTGAGCCCCTAGTATATTATAGGTGATGAAGAAGGCATGGAAGAGTCACAAGATGAGAATTGCTTTCATTTTTGATTTGAGTTAAATCCAGTACAATATTCTAGAGAATTTCAAAATCCAAGAATAGCTAAGATCTTTCTGACTCTATAAATTTTGGATTTGTAAACGTATTTGTTTAATTCCAAGGTGACTTCCAGCTCTTCTTGATCTTAGAAGTCTTCCCTGAAGTTGGCCTGTGCAAAGCATCCTTTTGAACTGTTTTGTTGAATTGCTATCAACACATCATCATGACAAGAACTATTAAACTTTTGATTATAATTGCTGAAGGAGTATAATAAAATGTCAAATGCATTCTAGTTTTGTTTGGCATGTAACAGTTATTATCTTAATTCTAGAATGATTAGGTAGGCTAAATAATTCAACAAGATAAATACATACTTATTTTACCCCAACAATGTATTCATAATAATCACTGAATGTTTACTGTGGACACTGTACCATGGACATCTGTTGTGGGGAAACAGTAAAGAAATAAGATACAAGGCTATGGCCCGGAAGACTGGAAAGCTTATCATTGAACTTGGACATATTCATGGGAATATTTACAAAGAAAGTTGAATTTGTGAATTCAACTGACAAGAGGAATCTAACTACTAGCTTCACTTGAGCTTTATATTATATGAATGAAGAATATATGAGAATATAGCAACAGCCTATGATGGTTACAATACTACACCTGGACATTCATATCATATTGTAAGACAGAAATTTTGTCTAATGACTTACTCTATATAATATGCACCTGCCGACTTTACCAGCTACCTTAAAATCAAAGAATTATATATGAAAGAAACCAGTATTTAAATGGCCACAAAAGAAGCTGCATGGGTGCAGGCAAATTGAAAGGAAGAGAGGTACGGGGAAGAAAGTGAGATATACTACCTCATCCCATAAATACCTGTGGGTAATGTTACAGGAAGTTAGACATGAGCAGAGCAAGGACGATGGGCCGGGCACAGAAACTCACCCGGGCAGAAAGCCCCAGATGCCTAGCATGGGACAAAGCTGGGAAAACAAGAAGCTCACCTCCAGGGTTACCTTTCCTCCCCTAGCATATTCTTGGTCATGCAGTTTAGACTCCCTGACCTTTTCCTCCCTAAAGATAACATTTAGGCCTCAGTTATATTTCAGATCCAGGCCCAGAAAAGCAGCAAAACCAAGCAAATGACACAATGGCTGCCTCAGGACAAGCTGCATTGACTAACGACCCCCTGCCCTGGCACCAGCCAATCAGTGGAGACCATGACCCTGAAAGAGCACCCATGGAAAGCTGATGAGTATTCTATTGAGACCCTCCCCCAGACCTCCTAGTAAGATTTCACCTGAAAGAGAGAGCTAAATACTCTCAGGATTAAAGACCCAGTGCGTGATCTCTCCCAGGGAGACTAGCAACTAGGGGAGCAATGGGCTGCAGCAGCTCATCCTGGGCTTACCCCCTGAACTTGTCTCCAAGGCCCCCTCTGACTTCTCCGTGAGCCAAAGCAGCCCAGTGTAGGCTCTCCTGTAACTTCTTCTATGCACCTTCCTTGTTTTACTGTCATAAGTATATTTTTGCTGTGGCCAATAAATTCTTACTTTCCTACACTTTGTTTCTTGATTGAAATCTTTCCTTCAGGAAGACAAGAGCGGAGTTCTCATCATCTCTCCAGTTACAGGTAATATACTGTGATAGTTGCTCAACACAACATCCTTTTTTATGTTATCATGAAACACTCAGAATTTGGGTCACATTTCAAATGAATCTTTTTTGCACCATTGATGATAAAGTAGAGATTCTAGAAATAGTTTAAGTGATTTGAGATAACTGAAGGGTAAGTAATGTTGATTGTTGAGCCTCTGCATACCAGCATTCTTCCTACATAGGTCTGGAGTACTTGTCATATTCTTAAATGTAAGAATGTACTGTCAGTCAGAAGGGTAGGCAAATTATGAGTATTTACAATTAACCCTAAAGCACTTTAAACTGTAAGTATCATTAGTATTATATCAGAATGGGGAAGTGGTCATTAAGCATTCATGTTAATTGCTATCTAACCATTGAACCAAGCTAATATGAGATACAGCAATGAGCAACTTATTTAATGATCACAGGAAATTGAGATTTAAATAAGCTTAATTTTTAATATGCCACTTAAAGCTGATATTTAATTTAATAAATAGAAGCACAGTGCATTCTCTGTGAACTAAAGTGAAAACACAATAAAATTAGGAAGAAAAATTTGCAAGGCAATTGGGTATATCTCTTGGAGAATTACTTACTTTTAATTAAGGAATCATTTACTGAACACTTTCATTGTGCTAGATACTGTTCTTGGAATTACTGGTACAAGCAATACATAGATCCAGAGGTCAGGCACAAGAGGGGAAACTGACATGTAGACCCACCAACTTTAGATAGTGTGATGAGTTCTATGAAAACTTTGAGAAAAGACGTTTGACTTAGCATCAGTTGAAGGAGAAGGTTGATTTTGGATGTCTCTCCAAAGAAAATAAAATTAGAAATAATTTACATGAGAATTACAATTATTGCTATTCCAAATGTGGCTGCCACTACCAGCTGTGTACACACTCCAGGGGGCATCATTCACATTGTAATCAATGTAAATAGCACTGGGCTCCAAGGGATGCTCTTCATATAAAACACTGTGTGAATGGCGTGCCTGGAGATGTGCAACCTGGCAGAAAGAAAGCCTAGCTGATTTCTCCAAGTGAAGCTTATTACACTTACTTTATTATACCCAAGTCTAATGCCATTTAATCTTAAAATAAGAACTTTTTCCCCATAGAAAAAAGTGCAGTTGCCTGCTTCTACCTTGCCTTTCTACCTCCTCAACTATTTCCTTCCTAAAATTTGCCCACTCCATATCTTATCCAGTAGAGTTAAGGACCTGGCCAAATGCTGTCCCTCTACACCATATACATACCTGAGAAAGTCCCCACCACCACCCTGCTCATACAGATAATCATCCTCATATTTGAGTCTTCAGAATAGTCTTTGTCTAAAAATTTGAAAGGATTTTTCACTTGAAAATTTGAGACATTTGGCTGGATATTTCTTTAGCTTAGTGTCATTAAGAAATATGTCTCAACTATTGAACACTTTCTCCCCCCAGGAATAACAGTGTTCAATCTTCATTATGAAAGAAATAACTTGCAAATAAGAGAAGGAAGGGACAGTTAGATGTTTCCTTTGCTCATTTAATTGCGTATTTCTGAGAACTAACATCTGTTCCTTAGAGGGGTGTGTGTGTGTGTGTGCATGGGTTTCAAGAGTGCTCCTTACATGCTCAGAAAACTGTAACATGCATGCCTAAAACACACCAATTGCTACTCTGCAACCCCTTGTGGTTGTTTTTAAGTACTCACACACAATTATAAATTGTTATTGAAGACGTTGAATGTTAAAAAACACACCAAGGACTGCCTACTGGGGATGAATTTTGAAAGTCTTTAGACCAGATAACTTTAGAAAAGATAACTTTAAACCAGATAGTCTTCAGACAAGATAACTACA